GAAATTTTAGAATAAGCAGAGTAAGCCAAACCTAATACACTGCAATCTTTTTTCGTCCAAAATTTCAGATTGAAGGATTGAAACCACCCCTTGAGAAAATGCAAATTTTTCTGCTTCGTGGATCATCTTGAGACCATTAAGAGATAGTGGGAAGAAGTTTAAACGAAAAATATATTATTTTTTCACGAATACAAGACTGCAAAATAAAATTTTTCAAAATACCCCCACCACCAACTCTTTTTGAAAAATTTTATTTATTATGCAATTTTATAGTAAAAGAACACAGTATTCTTCATTTAAATTCCTTTTCGCTAAAAAGTTGTCATTTTTGTTTAATGGGTAGTTTCACCCCTTCAAAGTGAAATTCGACAAGAAAAAAAGGGTTGGTGGTAGGGATATTTTGGAAAATTTAAACTTTCTGAACAATTTGATCTTTCTGAAAAATTTGATTCTGCAATTTTATATAAGTGAAAGAACAATGTATTTTTTTTTAAACTTTCTTTTACTATCTCTTACCATTTTCAAGATACTGGGATTATAAATAATACGTGGCATTCAATGTGTTAAGCACAGTTATTAAAGAAATCATAGGACAAGGGGTTAAAGTAGGTCGCACGCAAGATACACCCTGTATACGATTCGCAAGACAAAACGCGTTGCGAGGGCTCGAAGAATAAAAGCGAGAGTAAGCAAATCGAGCGCGTGCGTATTGGTTCGCACGTACAGTTGCGAGACGACCGATGTCTAGCAGAATGGCACATGGGCGAGAAGAATCTTTCTTGATTGATTACATGTAACCTTATCGTTAAACAGCAAATTAGCAATGACATAAATTACGAGTTAGCAATGACGATCCTTCTCGCGATTGGAAAAAGGTTTCTAAATTAACGCATTGCGTATTGATTGATTTTTAGGAAACTGGCTGACGATTTTTAATGAGAGTAACTTGCATCACTGTACGTAGACAAATTTAAATATCTTATTACTTAACCCTTTTCGAATGTTGCCGTAATGACCACTTCGAGCTGTTATGTCTGAAATCGATAGCTACGAATGAACAATTTAATTACTATTCAAATAATGAGAGACTGATATATGGTTTTTTTCTGATATTTAACCCTTTGCGGACGGATGTCAACATTTCAGCGACATTGAATTTTCATATTTGGAGCACTAAAAAGCAAACAAATGATTCAGTTACTAAAATAGCAAGAACTCGGTACATAGTTTCTTTTATATTCTTCAAGCAATCGATTAATTTAGCTTCATCTGCTGGAAGATTTATATATTTCAGAGAATCTCTGTCCACAAAGGGTTAAAATTTCGAAACATAATTCAGTGTTTTATCAAAAGAGTTTTTAGAGGTTTGAAAAATTCTCGACCGAAATGGGTTAATATGTTCTAAACAAATAATCGGTTTTGAGAAAATTCAGCTTAGAAAAAATATAAATATGAAGCAGAAGATCACAGTTATACATATACAAAAGATCGGAACTTTTCATTTGGTAGTTATCAATTAAAAAATGTCTAAAGTTTGCCTATATTTAAGATGTCTCTGCGTGGTGTCCCTTCTTAACCCTTGGGGTTAGGTGGATTTCAATTTATCCCACTACTTTCTGGCAGTTAATTTCAAAAATTGGGATATTTTGTAATTCATCAAACTCAAATAAAATTACTTATACTCTTATATTATTATTCCGTGCAGGTTCGAAAATTTTGTTTCTTTAAAACTGCGCGCCCTAAGAGTTAATCTTTTAACACTATTTCTACCGAAGGTGTTAAAAGTCACCTTCTGAAATTTACCTTAAAATCATTTTTTAAGCTTAGTTGCATATTCTGAATTAACTTGCCGACTTTTCCAATAACGATTATGAAATTAACTGTAAGAAATGTCCAAAATTCAATGGAAGAAAAATTATTAAACTGAGAAAACAATTATAAGTTGAAATTTCAAGAAGTGTCTTTTGACACCTTCGGTAGAAATAGTGTTAACACATTGCATACCAGTTAATTATAATTATCAGAAAATTAAATTGTGCGGATTTTCAGTGAGATCCACTTATACTACTATCTATAAAAAAACTCAGGTATCATATTGTTATGTAATATATTTTAAATGGACTATTAGTTCTAATCAAATTTAATATTTCCTTAAATGCTGTAATTATCAAATTTCTCGTTACCAGTACGCAATGTGTTAAGGACGAACGTTGGCATTTTTGAGATATTAAACGTTCATATTCGAGGTACAGAGTTAACACAATATACAATGTAATCATTCGCATAACAAAAGGTCAATGAATAGCTCCCCCTTTCTTTACTCTGTAGGATTTCAACATATAATCTAACTTTCTCTACCGAAGAATATCTCAAAAAATCCTCATCCGCTAAGGGTTAATACTATCCGTACCGAGAAATGACCGGATTTAAAATTCTGCGTTCTCTAGTTCATTTAATTTTATATCAATTCCTATATTGTCCGATTAACCCCTTGCCCTATGATTTATTTCTTAACTATGATCGATATGAGTACTTTATCATGAATAATTTATTAGAAAAAGAAAGAATTTTTATACTTGTTGTATTTCTATGTTTAATCCAAAGATAATACAAAAATAATATATAATTTACATTTAAAGAAAATGAATAACAATCAGATTTCTCAAATTCAGTTTAAAATTTTCGTCATGAGTCTGCCTCGTTATTGTATCTTTTCCTCTTGTTTCTGTTTCCATGAAAAAAATTTATCATCTAATTTACATTTAAACAAAATGAATAACAATCAGATTTCTCAAATTCAGTTTAAAATTTTCGTCATGAGTCTGCCTCGTTATTGTATCTCTTCCTCTTATTTCTGTTTCCATGAAAACAATTTATCATCTAATTTTTTTATCTCTATTTTGTAGCCAGTTATTTGACTAGTTACGGAAGGAAAAGTGTCGGTGTGGTTAGTGTTAATGTTCGAACCCATTTGCGACATATTGCATCCTATCACTAGTGGTGGAGCAACACGGAGGCGGTGGAATTCTTCATTCGATCCAACTGCGGGCCGACATTGCATCGCTCGCGGAATTATTCGAACGGAGAGCTAAGTTTCATCTTCGCGGCTCTATTTCTAGAGGGATAATAATAAACCGCG